ACTATATTATATTATATTAAATTATATTCTATTATGTTATACTATATAATATTGAATTAGATAATATTGAATTATATTATATTATATTATATGATATTACATTATATTATATTTATATCCTATTTATATTATATTATATTATATTTATATTATATTATATTATATTTATATTATATTATATTTATATTTATATTTATATTATATTATATTATATTTATATTATATTCAATTAAATCATATTAAATTATATTATATCACATAATATTATAATATATTATATTTATATTATATTATATTTATTAAATTATATTATATTAAATATTACATTATATATAAATTAAATTATATTATATATATATTATATTAAATATTATATTATATATTATATTATATTATATTTATATTATATTATATTTATATATTTACACATAATTTATAGATGTACCGTACCCAGAAGCCAAGTGACCCCTATTTGGATGGTCAACCCTCCATTTTATGGGTCAAACCTTCAAAACAATGGTCACTTGGATTCCAAGTGTACGTATGTATATATATATATATATATCACCATCAGCATATACGTATCAAAATTGTAGGGAACTAACCTTTGCTCTTTCTGTTTTGGACCCCTATAGCTTCAGGTAAACTATGCATTGATAGTGTGGCAGAGTGAATGATTGTCCTTGCAAATGCTGTGTGAGTAGGCCTTTTTCGAAGATCTATTTTAGACACGTCCGCATTTGCAAAGATTTCCAGTCATCAAGCCAAAATCATGCATCCAACCTCCGAATTTTCCTCTAAAACCTTCCAAGATCCAACAGAATAATTCAACAATAACCAGCGGATAAACCAACACTTTTGTCCCAAGAAGGGAAAGGGCATAGTAAGTAAGATTCAATATTGTATAAGTAAGATTCACAATAATTACATAATGACTATGCAAAGACGTCCAAGACTTAGCAGCAAAACAATGATCTATTAGCAAATAGAATGTGGTTGGTAGTTCAACCCCTCCTTCAACATATCAGCAAATTGAGTCATGGCCAGGAAGACACGTTGAATTCTCCAAGCGATCCTGTGAATCAGCATGGATGATGACAATACCAAATGAATCCTCAACCATTCTATCAATGGTACCCTCTGGTAATTTAACGTAGCTATTGAAAATGGCCCAGTCGAAATAGTGGATTTTCCCATGAAAAATGGTGGATCTTTCCATAGTTTTTTGTTAGTCATTACCAGAGGGTATCTCAATATTTTCTATGGGCTAAATATAGAGGTTTCCGTTTTGTCATGGGGCTACCCCCAATTCTCCGAATCATCCAGTCGTCATGGATGACCATGACGACTAGTATTGAAACAACCATGGTGACGACTGGGGATCCCCCATGACTTAAGAAAGCTCCATATAATATAGTGGTTATATATATATATACATCCCAGATATATCCAGATAGATTATGCCCATTATCATTCCAGATATTAGTCCATAGAAATCCCATGAAAATCCAACTCTTCGGCTTAACCGCCTTGTTTTTCCATCATGCCTCGAGCGGGACTGACGGCTCTCCTTCTGTTCTGCTTCTTCGATGCACTTTCGCCAACTGGTCCTGGAAATATCCAGTGCTAGGGCGCTTAAAATATTGGAATGTCACCACCAAGAAATGGAAATGGGATATATATATATATTATATATTACATATGTACATACATATATACATATTATATATATATATTTATTTATTTATGTATATATATATATAATGATGTTATCATGCCGTTTTCATATATTCTAATGAGATCAGATATATGAAGGGATGTAATGGGATATCTATAATGAGATTAAATGGGATATGTATATATATATATATGTATATACAATATTGAATGAAATAGGTATTATATCACTAACTACAACGGGGATACTGTAGTAGGGTTGCATGGGGCCTCTGAACTGACAAACATGGGGAGTTAACCAACTAAAGATCATTGATACGCCCGAAACTGAATGAATTAAAGGCATTTAAAGTGGTGAACCGCAGCAATCGACCAACAAAAAATCACACTCATACGGAAATCATCTTTATATATATATATTTATTTATTTAAATATATTTTTCCGCCGGCTTGGGCTACGTTTACTATGTATTGACCGTGGTATCTTCATGTCTTTTGATCACTTGGGTGTGTCCAAACAATGGTGGATACACCAACGGTTTATGATGCTTTATGTTTTATGATGCTTTGTTTACGACTGTGTGCTCTTCTCAAGTTTGAAGGTCTTTTTTTGCAGCATATCCCATGCGTTAGTTAGACTTTGGGTCATGCGTTGGTTCATAAGGATTGAACGGACTATCATTATCCATATGAGCACGCGTTTATCCACGCAATTGCACTAAGCTACCAACAGGAGTGAAACGGCCTGTGTGGCTTAATGTTCATCCGTTTGATAGTTTGCTCCACCTATGTAATGAATCATATTGAACCAGGACTACAGAAGTTTATCACTTATATGCCGACGTCTGTGATGGCTAAACGGCTAAACCCCTAAAAATGAGAGTATACCATGCAACAACTAAGGCAACGAACACCAAGTGGCTCTGTAGCTTTCATCTGTGCCAGCATGTCATTGTTGGCCACTTGTGCCTACAAGGAGCTGGGCTAAGCAGTTCAGAGGACACAACCAGTACTCTAAATGTCTTGGGGGAGGTCATGGAGGGAAAAAAACCCAGTACATGCTGGTCAAATTTTAACACCTTAAGCGTGTCCTTCAGATTGATGACGAATCTAAAGAAATAGTTTCATAGTTTCATGTTTTGTCATCATATGTATACCCCGGAAAAAAAAACTACCTACATTTCGAACTGAACACATAGTGCAGGTCAGACTGCCCATATCCGGAAGGAATCACATACACATATATACAATATCTGTCTATACATATATAAATAAATAAGTATATCTACAGTGTGTATATATATATATATATACATACTAGTACCATCAGTAATTAAACTTAATGCATGTTCATGCTATGCTTTGACAATCCAACTAAAGTGAGCATCCTTTCAAACTGAGACGAATCCCCTCAAATTTAAAACACAATTCAATACAAGAGTTTTGCAATGATTGAATCAGTGATGTACATCACCAAAGATTGAGCCGTGATGGGTAGAAGAAATGGCAAGCCAGGTAAATCATGGTAAATCTAATCTAGCCCCGTTCATTTTAAACACTCTTCAGAAACCATGGTTTTTCGTAGGGGTCTGGAAAACCATGGTTTTGGGACCGGGACCAAAAACATATGGTTGAAAATCCCGATCAGGGAATGGGATGACAATTCTGCTTATATCCCTATTATACTCCGGTCAAAGCATCGTCATTATGTTGTATGGTCATCCATTCCGTATATATCTATATATATCATATATATATATATATCATATATATATATATCATATATATATATATATATCATATATATATATCATATATATATATATATATATCATATATATATATATCATATATATATATATATATCATATATATATCATATATATATATATCATATATTTCTCTAACCTGAAGCTTGCGGCCATTGGGGCGATTCCCCTATACACACTCACCTTGATTCCGATGAGGTCACAGTGAGGTCAGTATAATTTGCCCAGAAATTCATATCGCCATTATCATCATAGTTGATGGTAAAATATGTTTAAAACCCATGAATTCCCATTAGCAGTCCATATATATATATATATACATATATATTATATACACATAATACAAAAAAAGGGGTACCCCAAATCATCCATTTATAGATAGATTTCCCTTCTAAACCATCCAGCTAGTGGGTATCCCCATTTATCAATGGATTGGTTTAAGGGGAAATCTACAGGAAACCATGGATTTTCCCATTAAATATGGGGCTTTCCTGTAAAATTCCCTTAAACCAATCCATTGAATTTATGGACATCCCCATATAGGGATTACTATGAACCACGCCCAACCACCCTGTGTATCCCAGGCCTCTCGCAGCTGGTTCTTCAGCGTGTCCACCTCTCCCGAACCGCCCATGCCGACAGCGGAGGCCCAACCGGCAGGAAGCCGCTCGCCAGGCATCGGGATTCAATGGAAGGCAACGGAGATCTCAAGCGGTTGTGTATCCATGAAAATAGATTCACATAAATATATTGTATGTATGTGATTGTATATGCATACATGTATATACTTGTATATTATATATTGTATAGATAGACAAAATCTTGTTGGACGATTATGGCTTATGGACAGTTGCCGTTGTTAAAATCTGGTCAATTTTTCATCGACTGAGCCCAGAAATGTGAGCCCACTGGAAAACATGTGTGGGGACTACCAACTCACAAAAAAAGTAATGCTCAGAAAACGTAAAGAGGAAACTTGGTTGAGGTCTCCTCAGCAACGGCATTCCGCTTGATCCGAAAAATGCTGTAGCAGAGGGCATCGAGGTTAAACAGACACAACACCAACTATCATGGTGTGAAAACCCCTAAGGCGCAGGCTTTTGGCGCATACTGTAACTGCTACCGAAATGAGCATTCATGGATATTCATGATTTGCCAACAAACTTCTACGATGGGATATCTCGTACAGGAATTCCATGGAATTCAGCAGTCCAAAAGGGCGTCGATGATCGTCGATGTTCTGTTCTTTCCTCTGGGAGGCGATGAGCGAGATCAATATGGAAGCGCAAAAAGCTGATCATTTTCAGTAGCCGCCACAGTATCGAACCATCCATGTTGATAGTTTTGGCCTGCACCCAAAGGTTTAAAGTTGGCAAGTCTTGGGCACAAATAGAAATATATAAACAAATCATGCCATTGTTGTGGGATATATTTCAACATATTTCAACATCATGAATCATGAACCATTCCAGCCCATCATGGCCCACGCTCAATTTGTCTTCTTACTTTGTGCTCTGCTATACGGATAGAACTCCTGCAGCTGCGCCCACCTTTTTTTCCTCAAAGCAGTTGAATTCCAAGCTTTGCCATGGGCAGCTGAACCGTTGTTACTGTACATCAAGGCTTGCCCCGATCTGGCCCCGCACAATGTGCTGTTCCGGTGAACAATTTGGTCCTCAGCCACGACGCACAAACAAATGGTTGTTCTAAAATAATTGACCCATCTTAAAGTAGAGAAGTGAATGATAGAGATACATGAATAGTTGGGTGGATGGGGCGCATATATCTCAAATTGGCAGGATTATCCCAAATATAGATGGCCATTGTTACTGTAGTGGGGCACATAAAATTAATGGGACTCGACCAAGCCCCCAAAAGTGATCCTCCGATAATAAGGGCTTCCTAAGGGCTTATTAATGACCAACCACAACAAAAATAATAAATTGTGCTTACTGTATTTATCATGGCTATAAAATTAACATATATATATAATATATATATATATATATCTGCACATATAGTTATTTATAATATGTATACATGCATTAATTTTGAATCCCTTTATAGAATGGATAAACCTTTATAGTTATCCATTATATTATGCATTAAATATGCATTAAAACTTATTGTACTATAAACTATAATAGTTATCCATGATAAACCACGCCCAGCTGCGGCACACTGCTGGCCCGCGACGCGCAACTTGGCCGCTCGGGCCGCGCGTTACCGGCCGACACGGCAACGGAGCAGCCGACCTTGGCGCGGGCGCGGTCCACTGCTTTGGCCTGGCCGGATGAAAGGATTCAAGGTGGATACCTTTGCGGAACATTTCTGAGGTGTTCTTTTTTTGATGAACAGAACAACTGACTGTTGTTAAATATTCATATGTCATGCACATTATACATATCTAATGCACCGGTATAAAACACACTATAGATCGATATGATATAGGTATATATTATGTATAGTCATAGACATAATAAAACATAATATCAATCAAAAAAGTGGCCCGATGACCTAGTCTGAGAACGGATCTTCACGTTGGTTCCAAGTCACTGCGATAGTGGGTGGATTCATTCACAGTGACCACCAGCGGACCCGCGGACCGGCAATCAAAACACCGTCTCAAGTAAATACAATGTATGTATGCATGTATGTATGTATATATACTGTATATATTGGTATATATATATTATATTCAAGGTTTCCCTCTCTCTGTATGTATACAGTATATATATATACATACATACAAACACTATCAACTATAGTCTATAGCCTATCATATGAGCGATTTGTTCACACATGCAATCTTTTGTTGATCGAACTTTGGATGTATTTCAGGATTAATAGGATTATTTAGAGTTCAGAAAGCAAACTATGTAGGATCAAAAGTTTGACTGGAGATGACATTTGATGCCTTTCTACAGCAGAATTGGTGGGTACATCATATGTCTTTGCTTCGCAAGGATTATGCAGTTGTATTTCTTCAGACTCGGTCGACTGGAGATTGCTAGATAAAGGATGGCGCCTGACCAATGATGTGGGTGTGGCCAAAAAATGCCAGAATGGCAAGGGTCTACCATTTTGCCGACTGATATGCAAAAGCAATGGTCTAGTTTCCAATGTTTTAGTTAGCATAATACACAATGTTTGGGATCAATAGTTTTTGAGCAATATATAATAATAACTATATATATATATATCGATGTTTTGTCAAAGATTTGGCAACTGACATGCTACCATGCAAAAGGTGCATATGTATGTTATCTATCAAGTGTTTGTCCAAATCTGAGTGTTTTAGAGGTCCAAACATCTCCAAGATCAGCAGTGCCTTCTCTGGTGTCATGGTCTTTTTCCCCACGTCCAGCAAGGTTTCAGCAGTGGTGCCCTGCTGCTGTCGATACGCTTCCGTGGTCTTCAGCAACGACCGAGACGCCGGCCGCGGCGCCGGCCGCACTGGCCGCGGTTGCCGCTGGCACCGAGGCGCAGGCCGCGGCGCGAGCGCCCGGGGGGCGCTGTGGCTGCGCTTGGCAGCGGAGTCGTCCACCTTGAAGGTCAGGAGTGAGGGTTTACTGGTTTGACCGTGATTTCTTGATTTTCTACAGAAGTGATATATGAATTATGAAATTCATTTATATATCTATATAGATTATCTGGTTCCTTTTCTCAACTACCTGCTGGTAGTTTTACGGATTCTCGCATTTCAACCAACTTAATTGTTGGGAGATGGGAAGAATGTGACAGTTTCATCAAAACACCCAACCAAAAAATGGGCTGACAAGGGCAAACTTGGCTCGTCATGGCGGAGAGGTGGGATAAACCTTCAGGATCCTTCAGGCTTGATCATTAAATTGGCAAAGTTCTTTGAACATCTTTGAACCATGCCTTCGCTAGGAGAATCTCTTTTCTGATGTGACACGGGCCCCTTCAATACATTGACTTTAGGCTTCATTCTCACGGCCTGGCTGAGATTGCAAAGGCGCCAAGAACTTGGAGGCTGAATCCATTTTTCCCCGATATTTTCCTGTCAGCAACTTCCACACATTTCCGCAGTTTCGTCAACCCTGAGGCGGGATTACATTCTTTACATGTTCGAACAACATTTGGACATTTTCAAACACCATTTGGACCAGCTTTGACCCATATCACAAAGAATATTCAGCACATTTTCCGCCCAGCTTTCTTCAAAAATACATCTTCTTACCGTACCCAACGTTTTCACATGAGGTTCCTTTCATGTTCCCTTGATTTTCCCTTCATGTTTCCCTCATGTTTCCTTGATTTTCCCTTCATGTTTCTCTTCATTTTCCCTTCATGTTTCTTTCATTCTTCCTTCACTTCTCCTTCATGTTCCATTCATTTTTCCTCCCTTTGCCCTTCATTTTCCATTCATTGTCCCTTCATTTCGGCACATCGTCCAGGCACCACGGCACCACCATATGCTGCGGAGTTCATCAGCTTCTCCAGCCGTTGGGCAGGATCCAGGCGCGGGCGCCCCGCGGCGAAGGTGGCTTTGGTGGCCATGGTGGCCGTGGTGGCCATGGGCTGTTTGAAGGTAAGTCTTTGTGAATAATGATGGTTAATACCTTATTCACCATAAGTAATAACCAATGGTTTAATAACCACCTTTATTCAGTAATTCCCAAAATAATACTTACTGGTTCATTAATGGTGAATAATCATTATTGGCCATGGTATAATCGTTATTAATTAACCAATATTATTGATTGATGATGGTTAATAATGGTTAATCATGGTTAACAATTTATAAGCAATAACAAGAAAAAACAATAAGAACAATCCACACAATTTGTAATCATATGGTTGATTATAATTTTGTTAGTGGTTAATTTAGTGGTTTATTAATGGCAAGGATGGGTAAGGTATTTGTTCTGAATGTTCTGGTTACGTGTCGCTGTAGAAACATGATGATCATGATCTAGCAGACATTTTTGCTGCGACATGGGTCTTAGTGTCTGTTGTCTGTGATGATCTCTAAAAACAGCAAACACATATACTATATATATATACTATATATATATACATATACTATGTATAATATATATTTAATGTATATACACTATTTCTGTTCTTTGTCCTGATATTTCCTGCATCCAAGAGCCCAACTTAGGATGCCAAGATCTTGACAAAGAACACATGTGCCACCAAATCAGACTGCTGGGACCTCAGAGCCACCAAGATCACCGCCACTGTCCAGCTCAGGGAGAAGGACAATGCAGAACAGCCTACAACTTAGCTACAGAAATCCAACATCTAACCTCCAAGATATTCAGTTTAGCTGGCTACTAAGGATCACCAAAAGTTTGCCCTGCTTTCAAAGCCGCTTGTCAGCACAAGTCGGGTGACATTCGTCTTTTTCTGCATCCCCGTCCGCGACTGGTTTGGAGACAACGTATCGCTGGGGATATGCCATATCTATCCACATCTGGGGTATATAATGATTACTCAAATGCTAACAACATCCAACAACCATTAATGGAGCAATTTGCCACGGTGATTTATGGGTTACTTATGGTTACTTCAGTGCAGCAAGACCACCCCTTGGACCACGAGGATTCCACGTCGGGACACACCCGTCGTGGTTCCACGGGTTCCGCGGGTTCCACACGTTGCGTGCTCAGAACTCGGCCGCCCAATCTTCGGACTCGGAGATCTCTCTGGCTTCCAATGGCCTTGGCCCATCAGTGATGGTTTATATGGATTCCTGAATTCCTGCAATCATATAAATTGGATTAAATGGGTTGCAGACATGCGTTAAGTGGGGTCACATGGCATTCAATTGGCTTAATCCCATTGATTGCCATGGGCCCATTGGATTCAATGGGATTAAGCACCATTTGATTCTTGGGATTATCGTAAATGGGCTCCTTAGCTCCCATGAGCAATGGCTTCCTCCCACAAGATCAGCGGCCAGGTAACTACTATATAAATGTGTGGGTCGGCAACCAGCAACACGTAGCCCCAATCTCAAAAAGTTGCTGAGTACATCACCAAGTTTGGTAGCTCTTGCATGCTTTTGCCCCAGTATGTATGTATATACATACACACCAGTTTATTGGTTTTTGATGGCCCTTACTACCCTTCATCTCTGTTTCAGAGCCCGCTTGTCTGATGCTGGAAGCCGGCAAATGTTTGTTCATCCAGTGAAGTAATCATGAACTTTGTGAACTATCCACGTGCTGGGTGATCCAGCTAGACTGCAGGTGAAAACAAAATAACGAACATCTGGCTTATCTAATCAAATCCAATCCAACCCAATTAGCACAAATCTGTGGTAAGGCATTTGCGATACCAAAAAAAGGGGTGTCTTAAGTCATGGTGGATCCCCAGGTCAGCATGGTTGTTTCAATATATGGCAATCAACTTGGATGATTTGGGCCCCTAACTTAGGAAACCTAACCAGATTTACAACAACATAGATGTGGAGTATCCAGCATTTCCTAGGATCATTTCCTATCATTTCCTATAGGGGAATCCATAGGGAAACCGTGAAAAACCCAGGGAAACCCTGGATGCTTGGTCCTCTGGGATCCCCATCTCGGATTCGCTGGGATCCTGGCAAGATTGCTCGCCAGGAAAAAAGAGCTACCCAGTGTACACTATACATATACACATCATTACTATATGAATATAGAATATAATAGAATATATATATATATATATATATATATCATATATATACATATGTACACACAACATATATATATATATATCATATATATATATACAGTATATATATATCATATATATATATATTTAATATACAATTATTTTATATATTATACATATTTCAGTTGTGGCTTCGTCATGTCAATATGACGATCACCGCCATTTACGGCAACAGACTGGCGGTGCTTTGGAGTGATGGCACATGATGGCACCATATCTCGGGGGTGTTGAACATTGAAGGATGGGGTTAATCAACCAATGGAGGACTTCAGGATGAGTGACACATTTTTAAAGGCATCTGAAGTCTGAAGAACCACAAACCCCAAACAATGAGTCTGGGATATACAGTAAGTTTCATCAAGAAATGGACAATTCTGGATATCAAAAAGAATCATGTGTCAAGTCAAGATTGATGGTTCCCAACAAAACTAGACGGCCTCGTTTGAAAAAGAACACATGACATGTATCACAGCCCCGCTTTTTTTTCTGAATCATTGGGGTGACTGAACCACTCCATAATTATGTCCAGCAAATCACCTAATCATGAACAGTAGATCATCCATTAAAACCTGGTTGGTGGTTTCAACCTACCTCTCTGAAAAATGATGGAGTTCGTCAGTTGGGATGATGATTATTCCCAACGGAATGGAAAGTCATAAAATTCGATGGTTCCAAACCACCCACCAGAAACACTACATTGGCGGTGAAACAACCGCAACAAGGGCCACAAGGGGTGAGGCAGCCCCGGACATTCTGGTGCAGGATTTGTATGTGGGCAACTGAAAACCATAAACCATGGATAAACCATGATAATCCCATTAAACCACTACAGTATGGTTTATAATCCCATTAAAACCACCAGAAAATCCCAGAAATGGTCCCAACTTATGAGATAAACCATGTATGACTGCTTGGTGGTGCAATAACCATCTTGAAAAATGATGGACTTCGTCAATAAGAAGGTGGAATATCCCATATATGAAATGGAAAATAAAATTCATGTTGGAAACCACCAACCAGATGATGTGTCCAATGACTTACCAGAAATGAGTGGTTCTATCACACACACACATCACATACCCAAGGTGTTACCTAGGCGTAAAACGCGCCTGGGGTATGGCGCCCTCGTCTTTTCGAGGTGTGCCCGGCGGACTTGAAACCTGACCAAGTCATGAGGGGTCCATGGAGATTTTAGAATTCATCAATGTTAGCAAAGTTGGTCCAGAACTCCAATATAACTAGCGTTTATGGCAGATCAATCTATAGATAATGGAGGCTATAAACATCTATAAACCAACTCATAAATGGGTTGCACCACCTTGTGTCACCTTGTGTAGTGGAGTATTCTCCTTTTAGATACACAAAACATCATAAAACATCACCATACAATAACATATCCCCTCAGAAGCGTTGTATTTATCTAATCGCAACGGCCATGAATTCTCTCGATTCGATGGATACATCCCCCATAAATGGGGATGGGATGATGGACGCTTTTCCAGTGGAACATGGCACTCTTCCATAGAAGGAGGCTATGCCTAGAAACTGCATCAAATCGCCCATATTTCCAAGTTTGAAAAGGGCGTGTATATATATATATATATGTAGGTGTTGGGTTTTCAAGTGGTTTCAAGTGGTTTCTCTGTATTGTTATGAGGCGCCGTCAAAATCAATTGTTTACGCCTAGTACAGAAATATAAGTTATCGGTTTTGGGGGGCTATCGCTTTACAGTGTTTTGTTCAAATCAACATGTAATAATGCAAAAATGCAGCGGAATCGGCTTCACAGATTCAGATCTCTAAACTGCCGGAGATGGGTTAAGGGGCGCTCGTTGTCTTTGCGTTTGCAACCATGTTGGGGAGCTATCTAAGCACATTCCTAGACTGCAAGGAAATTTATTAATTACAGTCTCGACTCCAAACTTGAATGACAGTAATAAATGAATGAAAATCAATAGTTCCCAACGGTTATAAAATCAGTAATTCTATGAAAACGAAAAGGGGTCTCCTCGCCCTTGTCCCTGTTTGACTAAGCCATGGCGTCAGAAAACGCGGCACTTCCCCGCTCCAAAGCTTTAGAAATTGAAGATGGGACCTCATCGTTCCGATAAAGAAGTGTCGTAGCTATGAAGAAGTGCATATCGGCTCTCCAAGTCTCAAAACAGCCTGACGGCCTAGTGTTGAGAACCTGCTCACTTTTTTCTTAAGCCCTTCTTCTTGTTGGGCCCCTTTATCAACAAAAGGTTATCGCTAAGGTTATCGCTAAATGAGAACACCTTGATCAAGAAAGGAAAAGAAAGAGGAACCTGGAACAAAAAGGACAAGTGGAAAAAAGGATAAAGGAAGGCAGGAACAAGAAAAGGAAAGAAATCAGAATAAAGGACAAATCAAACAAAAAGGAAATAAAATGAATGAGATGGAATTCAGAATTGGATTCAAAATCAACCCTGATTTACTTTAGAATTCAATTGCATTTGGTATAATGTCGAATTAAATTGCTTAAAGCACATAAACGGAAATCAGAATTAGATTTAAGAAAATATGTTGGATTTAATTCAGAAATCAATTGCGTTTAGTTTAGTTTAGTTCTACCGCATTGGGAAACAAACTGCCTGCAGAAAGCAACGGTTCGATCACCTTGGACAACCGATGATATGGCAACTGCAAGAAACGTGGGGCACTGCAGGTTGAATTTTCATCAATTTTGCCCATGGCATGGAGGTGCACAACAATATTTGCTTGTTTTACACCAAGTTTAATGCACTTTCAAATGGGGATGGGTCAAAACCTTGTACCCCTGTAGTTCACATCAAAATAGCTGGTAAATGGATGTTCATCCCCCTAAAAATGGTATGTATAGGTATTGATCCATAGCCACATGGTTACAAGTTATCTTTTTTATTGGGGGGGCCTATCGCTTGACATGGTTTGGTGCACTTTCTGGACACAACTGGACCCTCCCTTACTAAAGTAGTCTACGCTTGTTTTGACCGTATCTCATATATAGATTTAAGCGGTTTCAAGTGGTCCTCAAGTGGCTTCTTCTTCAAGTACTGGTCTCTCTCTCTCTCTATGTCTACGTAGTGTGTTCTACTGTTTCACGATTGTAATTTTACGCACTTGGAAGTTCTGGGATGTTCTGGGTAAGTAGAACAATCATCCAGCAGTACAGTACAGTACAAGTACCTCCCAAGCCTACTGGCATCACTATTGTCAACATCGAACACTGGCTCAAATCGCAGAGGGTTTATTGGACATGTGTCACTATTTTCTTCAACCATGCCGATCATATCCTGCTCGTGAATATGAAATCATACAAACCACTGTCAAAAATAATTGGCAGCGTCACTCCCAAAAATGTTGATTGAAATGTGCAATTGCAGCATATCAAGCTCCCAAGGCTTGACGACAATGCAAGGAAACTCCTGGAAAGCCCTGGCTGAAATTCTCTCCAAATGTCAAGCTTTCAAGACTGCTTCGCAGGGTCACTCCTAGCAAACTCTGGTTAAGCGCCAAATGTCAACCTCTCAAGACTGCTGGGGAGGGTCACTCCTTGAAGACTCTTGTTGAAATAGAATCCAAATGTCAAGCTCTGAAGACTGGTCGGCAGGGTCACTCCTTGCAAGCTTTGGTTGAAACTGTCTCCAAAGGTCAAGCTCTGAAGACTGGTCAGCAAGGTCACTCCTTGCAAGCTTTGGTTGAAACTGTCTCCAAAGGTCAAGCTCTGAAGACTGGTCAGCAAGGTCACTCCTTGCAAGCTTTGGTTGAAACTGTCTCCAAAGGTCAAGCTCTGAAGAGGTCAGCAAGGCTGCAAGCTTTGGTTGAAGACGACTGGTCAGCAAGGTCACTCCTTGCAAGCTTTGGTTGAAACTGTCTCCAAAGGTCAAGCTCTGAAGACTGGTCAGCAAGGTCACTCCTTGCAAGCTTTGGTTGAAACTGTCTCCAAAGGTCAAGCTCTGAAGACTGGTCAGCAAGGTCACTCCTTGCAAGCTTTGGTTGAAACTGTCTCCAAAGGTCAAGCTCTGAAGACTGGTCAGCAAGGTCACTCCTTGCAAGCTTTGGTTGAAACTGTCTCCAAAGGTCAAGCTCTGAAGACTGGTCAGCAAGGTCACTCCTTGCAAGCTTTGGTTGAAACTGTCTCCAAAGGTCAAGCTCTGAAGACTGGTCAGCAAGGTCACTCCTTGCAAGCTTTGGTTGAAACTGTCTCCAAAGGTCAAGCTCTGAAGACTGGTCAGCAAGGTCACTCCTTGCAAGCTTTGGTTGAAACTGTCTCCAAAGGTCAAGCTCTGAAGACTGGTCAGCAAGGTCACTCCTTGCAAGCTTTGGTTGAAACTGTCTCCAAAGGTCAAGCTCTGAAGACTGGTCCGCAAGGTCACTCTTTCCAAGCTCTGGTTGTAATCAATGCCAAGTGTCAAGCTTACGAGGCTTGTTGAAGGATTCTTCAGATTCTGTAAGATAGCTGCAGTTACACCTTCTATCTTTGCAACACCTTCCAGTGCATGCTCTCCATGAGAGACCCGGTTTCCTTGGAGATGTCACCACGCATCAAGGAGATTTCTTGGAACCTCCGTGGCAGAGAGCGCTGCAGCCTAGCGCTGCAGCCTTGCCCAGGATACTTTGCTCTGCAACGTTTGCTACAGTATCAGAGGCGCATTAATGTGATACAGAACGAGTTTGCTACCTTTTTTGATTGAGAGATGCTTGGAGACCATCCAGTGCAGGTCCCCCACAATGGAAGACGCTGGGGGTGGTGGCATCCTTCGCCATTCAGGAGACGCTGTAGATCGACCAGGTCAGAGCCACCCCATGGCTCTCCATAGCCACTGGCAGCACTGGTTGACATCTGCTGTTTCGTTCCTGTGCCAAACGGGCAAAGCCTAGATATGCCTAGATCAAATGCTTGTCAAGCCGATATCACAGCGCCAAATGGTAATGGAGCACATGCCAAACTACAAGTCCAGAAGAACAAAGCACCCAAAGTATCCCAAGAATCTTTGACTTCAGCCGGGGAAAAAATGTGCACGTTCCAATCTTTGAGAACCACCCGAAACCAATTCAATTGATTAAGCCTTGAACTATCTGACAATCGATCTCCTCACCACATAAACCATAAAATCACAAATATATCAACTAAAAACGAATGTCATTAAGGTAGGGTCAAATGACATGGGAATAAGGGTTTTTTTACCTCATACCTTGAGCAGATGACATGAGTATGGTTTTGACCCGAAACATCCCGAAACATGTGCAGGCACATGACTTGAGAGTTGTCGATGTCGATGATCCGAAAAAATCAAATGTGTGTCGACATTTTTGGTCGCTTATGACCAAGTCATGTGTTCAAGCACCACTGCCGCACAAGGGTGAAACCAAGAAAACATACTGTAATAACTGAAAACAAAACATACAATCATGTGCAAATATATTATAGTCTGGTTGGTGGTATACCCACCCCTCTGAAAAATGATGGAGTTCGTCAGTTGGGGTGATGACATTCCCAACTGAATGGACAGTCATAAAAATCATCTTCCAAACCACCAACCAGATAGCCCCTATTGAAATCATATGGGATCCTATGTGAATTCACCAGTCCCAGTCGTCCCGTTTCGAATCCCATCGGTTCGACTCAGGTCCCAACCAGTGGCGGCTCCAAGTTGCGACCCAAAAGCCTGGCAGGGTCGAAACCATCGAAATTCGATGTTTTTCCCGAGGAAAATGATCTGCAAATGGTGGGTTTCACATGGTTTAACATGGCCTAAGCACCAAACACCTATCAATCTATGTTTTGGAGTATGAAACCAACTTGTTGAATCAAATTTCTATTGAGATATCATTGATATTAGGTATAAACTATCAATTTTACTGGAGACATCTGGAGACCCCGAACTTCCAGAAAACCATACTACTCCCATGCTCCCATGTTCGAAACTCCTTTATGGGCCGGCAACATTCTGGGAATGGGGGTTACATCATTAAATTCTATGAACGATATGGTAGTTTCATGGGATAAGATGGGATATCTGATGGGATATATATAACCAACTTGATGTGATACTTTGGCTCTGTCTACAAATGGGGGATACCCTGAAATTGCCGTTTCGGGACTTGCTGATAAACACAAGGATTTTGGGTTCCCAATTTGGAGACAAGCCCATTTCTATCTGAATTTACTGGAGAATGTGTGTATACATAGAATGTATGATTCTGTATGTAGATATAAATGTACGATCATGTAGGATTATATATGTATTATCTATGTATACAATATATTCTGAAAACAAAGGCTTGCAAAAATGTCAACATGTAAATAATGTTCTTCGAGTAAGTGGGTTTGTTTGAAACTATGTGTATATATATATATGTATATATATATATATATATTATTATACAGAGTATCCCAGGTTTTTTAAATAATTGATAATAGCCTTAAACATGGGGCTATCACCTAGCATATCTAGCATGTAAAAATATATCAAAACATGTTTTCATCACCTGGCATAAACCCAAATTGTTGGTGTTTTCACGTTTTTTTGTTGTGTGTGTTTTTTCGCCCCCAAAGGCTTCATGGTCTTTTCAACAGCTTTCAATGGGTCAAACAATGTCGAGTTCCCTTGAAAAAGCCCCAGGGAGTTGCACCTGGCGAAGCTAAACTTTCGAAAGTACTCATGTTCACGCCTCAGGGGCCGCGAAGCCTGGCCATTGACTGAGAAAATCATCGAAACCAGAGCCGTGGCTGGAAGTGGGGGGCTGGTTTGTTCAAGCACCAGTGGACTATGGGAATCAACGGGAAAATATCCAATCAACGGGAATCAATGGGAATCATGGGAAAAGAACAAAACCAAAACGATGGAGATATCACCAAGAAGATTGCACCATATTGCCAACTTAAGCTGGCTACATGTGGCTACAACTGCTGGTGTCCCGAATTTGTGGCTGCCGTCGCGCTTAATAAGTGTTCGCCATTCTTATAAGCTCCACACCCTGGTCCAAGTCTTCAACAGTGAACAGGCTGGGTACCCAGGACACGTCTTGAAGGCCATTCCTGGATGCGTCCGGGCAGTCAACAACCAACATGATCATGGGAATCCTATTTATCAACCACAGAGGATTAAACTTAAGCGACTAAGCAAAGGGATGCAAAGGGAAGAACAAAGACTCTGTTACCCTCTGGTTATGTCAAAAGTAGCTATTGAAAATGCCCCAGTCGAAATAGTGGATTTTCCCATTAAAAATGGTGGATCTTTCCATAGCTATGTTAGTCATTACCAGGCCGGGTATGATTTGGGACCAACACAAATCACTCTCAACTCATGTGGCTTTGGGACCAACTTTTGGGGCCGTTGATTCTACCGAAACCATTTAGTGAATACCACCTGCAAAATGTGACCCTGCCTTGTGGCTCGGGTCATTTGGCGATTGTTTGAGCGAACTTAATTGCAATATTAAAAACAAGATATACACATATATATATATGATATATGTATTTATGTTTTAAGAGTCTTTGGTGTGCATTATATATACTTGTCGAATCGTTTTTGTACATTTCAGGATATATCAAGCATCCATCCACAGGTCCAACCTGCGACCCAAGTGGCACGCCCCCGATACGGAGCTGCGAGTTCTTGCGCAGCAACGACCTGCTGAAGCCGCCAGGAGAATTAAGATTTGAACACGCAACAATGTCAGTGGCCATTTCGGGAACATAAATTGGAGGTACCTATACCATATACTAGGCCTATGTACGGGCTATGTAAAGGGATGTAAAGGGATTTGTCCCCCAAGTATGGCTTCGTACAGTCCCTCCATGCCCTCCAATTTAGGGTCCTGAAATTGGCTCCAGCAAATGAGATTACGCTCCAGCAATTCAACATACCCTTTGGTAATTTAACACGGCAATTGAAAATCCACCAGGTATAATTAGTTGATTTTCCCATGAACACGTCCATTTAAACATTTATGAGGAAATGCACTGTTTGATCACCGGAGAGTATAAGGTTTTGTAATTGATCTGGGGTCTCTGGAAATGGGTTCTTGGGTCTTTCCAGACATTGTATATATGGTGGAATTGATGTGTATTATGGGTAGCTTATTATTTCCACTATGAGGTCGAGGTAACCGATTGATTGATTAAATGGGTATCATCTTACCATTGGTTATTTAATGTATCTACTTTTCTACCATGTTCATGGATAATCATATGTGCATTATCATGTTCACTCTTAGGCAACCAATTTGTTAATTTGTTGATTAAATTGGTATCATCCCAGTATCGATTACGGTTATTTTTGCTATCATATTCTCTGGATTTTCAGGAGTCCACTAGCATTTCCCTTCAAGGGTACCCGACCAATTGCTGGATTAAAATGGAATAGGTATTAACCACGCTCATGATTCTTCTGGGGTGGTGCTCCCATATATCTTTGGTATAAAGTCACTAATATCATCCCTGATGATCACTCTTTTTTTCAGGTACTAAATTTCCCGATTTTTTCTCCGTCTACATCATATATCCTTTAAATGCAATGTCCAATTAAAATTTTGCCGAACTCAGGGTGCAGAAATCTGCACCTTGACTTAGGCAAAAAACAAACATGTAGGCAAAAAACAAACATGCCGATATAGGTGCTTGGTGGGGTATTGCCTAAGTCAAGGTGCAGGTTTCTGCACCTAGACTTGGGCAATACGGAGGTTGTACCCTGGGATTTAGGAAAAAAAAATTGACGTCTGCAGAAATTTGCAATTGGACATAGGAAACAGCCTTACTATTATATAATACCATGATTTTTCCCGCAATGGATTTGGGGCATTTCGGGGTCCTTCATTTGAGATGTAGGCAAAAAAAACATGCCGATCTTTTGGCTCGGGGGACCCCAAATCCATCGCCCCCGCAAATCCGTCGCATAACAATATTTTATTTTATATTTTATCTAAGTACTCAACCAAAAAAACATATCTGAATTGCGATCGAATGGTGATCGTTTGTTCTGACTGGTACTTCCACGAGTAGAAGGGCAAATGGATGGAGAGGCTAATTATCAATCCCCTTCTTGGCATGACTACCGAATAAGATAAGAATTGATATTAATATTGAAACAACCAAGGGACACTAAGCCAATACAATTTTTCCTTTGGGATCAATTTCACTAGTATATACCAAGGCCACCTACCTTAATAAATAAGATGCTCTCGTGAAATCTTACCTGTTGAATGTTTTTTTATTTTTTTAATTTTTTTGCTATGTTAGTGTTTGGGTTTTGGGGCTGAGATTCAACTAACTTGGCGTTGGGAACACATGGTGTGACATGGACATTTTGGTGCTAACTTGGCGCGTGTGAAGCATCAAGTAAGCTCAAGCGGGAAATGCTGTGTTAGCGTTCGTCTGTGTGCGCAGGGCAGTTTTTTCCTTAAAATTGTTGATTTTGAAGCTTTTTTGGGTCCAGTAAGGGTGAGCCCCAGGAAGACATCCAAAAACAGTTGTGCCAGTCATGATTTTTAATCCAAACCAAAGTTTTGGCAACAGGATTACTAACATAGCATTCGCGCAGGCTTCCCAAAACCTCCAATAGTACATCACAATCATCATGGCAGCAAGTAGCCAGATTGGCAACATCGACCAGGAGTTTTTTCCTGATTCAATCTATTATATAAAATTGTTGATTTTGAAGCTTTTTTGGGCCCAGTAAGGGTGAGCCCCAGGAAGACATCCAAAAACAGTTGTGTGCCAGTCATGATTTTCAATCCAAAACCAAAGCTTTGGCAACAGGACTACTAACATAGCATTTGCGCAGGGTTCCCAAACCTCCAATAGTACATCACAATCATCATAGCAGCAAGTAGCCAGATTGGCAACATCGACCAGGAGTTTTTTCCCTTATTCAATCTATTATATAAAATTGTTGATTTTGAAGCTTTTTTGGGTCCAGTAAGGGTGAGCCCCAGAAAGGCATCCAAAAACAGTTTTGGTTTGATCTGGTCGGCTGGAGACTCAAAAGAGACAACCTAACATAGCAACCAGGGGTACTTTCATTCTGGATTGATTGATTGATGCGTTCGGTTTCCCATTTTCTAAAACATGTTTTCCGTGGAGTTTGATGCTAACATAGCACTTTCCATTTGGTGGTTCCAAGCTGTGACAAGTCTCCAGACAGCTATGTTAGCTTATTCTGGTACATTTCTTTTACCCACTTCCTGGGGAATGCCAAACATTGGGAGGACGGAAACAGAGGCTATGTTAGCAGGTGTTGGCAGAAATCACCCAAATGATCACTTTCTCCAAATCCCGAGGGTTGACAACGTAGCCAGATGCTATGTTTGTGAGTTGGTGCCAGGGCTAAAAAACGCTATGTTAGATTTCACCGGTGTAGATAAAGAAATATAATAATGGAAAACATATATTATCACACAATCAGAGGTAGAACTAAATCACCAAGGACCCTAGAATCAAATTCCAAAGGCCCCTTATCGGCTGCAAAACCTTAGCTATGGAAAATGGACCATTATAGATGATTTACCTAAAGATAGTGATTTTCCATAGCTATGTCAAAGTACCAAATGGTATCACCTGGATGGCACAAATTGAACCATCATGTTTTCTTCGTATCAGACTCTATCATTAATCAAACATCTTTCATGTTCTAAACACATCACCGATAAAACATCTGGATTCAAACAAAATCATTGGATGCCCCAAAATACTATGTATTGAAGGTGACATGAAATAAACAATTTTTAGAGGCTCCATGTCAGGCATTGCGAGGTTTGGAATGACTTCCACCACGCCAAGATCACCTGTCAGAAAGTTCTTGCAAGAAGGAGCACCTAGATGCACTTGAGTCAAGAAAGGTAAGAAGAATATAAGAACCTAAATGAAGCTGCGTATCACTCATATAAATCATTTTTGTTACGGGATCCAGGAAGGTGAAATGGTTGTTGAAAGATCCTAGGTGTAAGGAAAAAAAACTCTGCAGCTAACCGCCACAAAATAGCTGGCAATTCGTTAAATGTTCGCCCTGGAAAAATGATAGCCATGGCTATTGAGCTATGGCCATGCCATGACCGGATCCATAAGGAGTTTGAGCAATTTTGTTGCAGGCGATCAGAAATCTTTACCATGACTGGAGAAACCGTAAAAATGATCATCATTTTCCCACTCCAAAAAAACAGGCCCATCTGGCAATGAAAATCTAACTGTGGATATTCCACAGTTAAGGAGTTTGAAGTATAGTTTTGTGATGTTTTCTTACGTCGTGGATCTCCAAGTCACCATTGATTTCAATACTAGTCGTCATGGTCATCAATGGTTTGGATGATTTGTGGGTACCCCCATGACAAAACGGAAACCTCCACATCAATGGTTTGTTTCATATGGTTAGTCATTAGCTACTAAAGCGATTTCTGGGATGCAACCCCCCACCAGACCTCAGCAGGTGTTTGCCCGTGAGATTCGTGAAATGCTCGGGGAACGACCTGGAGGTTTACGTTCAACTGGATCTGGCCATGTCTCAAAATCATCCAAAATCCCAGGTTCGATCAGCATGTTTTAAATCATCATAGATCCCTATTAAAATTGCCATAGATTTTGTGAATAGGGAATATTGATGAATATTGCCGATTTTAAAACGGTCTCATCTTGCAAACGGGAAGGATCATGTTAGATGCCCAAACACGCAGCCAGCTGTGGGCATACCTTCTGTTATCTAGACTTCATGTGACCACGGCTCAAACATCACGTCATAGAGTCCGTATGTGTATAATATATATGTATATAATATATATATATAAATAGATAGAAGTGTATCTAAGTTCCATCTCCAAACAGGCCCACAACTTCTGCATTATCATGTGTTCATTGGTCATTTCGGTACCAGGCCATAGCCATAGCCATAGCGACTAAGAGCTTGGCACTTTGGCCAAGAGAATCTCCTGGAAGACCTGGCGAAAAAAAAACAGGCCCGACCCACTGGCGTCATGTATGCAATGTATACAAATGGTAGACAGCTGCATGCAAATATATATGATATATATATATATATTTATTTATGTCTGTATTCATTTATTTATTTTTGTTTAAAACCATATATGTGCTTACCAAATGATTGTCAATATTTATCACGTGTATGATGATCTATATACACATCTGGAACCCACATGACAATTGTTTTTCAAAGTTTGGACCAAGATAAAATAACATAAGATAAGATAAAATAAGATCACGGGCTGCAATGTAACAGATGAATGCAAAACACAGCCGGTACCCTTGCCCAAAGGCGAAGGGGCAGCCTGTGGGGCAGCCCTGTCAACCCTGGAGACCGCGGAAGCTACCCGTAAGAATCTTTCGATCATTACAGTACCACCTCAGCTATTGAGTACGCGACCTGTTACATTGTATCTACATGTACCAGATTGTGCGCAAATACGAGCATTAATATAATTCCTATATATTCCTATTGCTTTCTTACCAGTCCATGAACATCAGCTTTTTATAGCTTTTTCACATTGCTTCGTCAACTCCTCCATTTTGCAAAGGCCAATCGATCTCTCCGCCTGTTTGGGATCTTCGAGGTCTTGCCCAAAGGGCAACGGGCCACAAACGAACTCGTACAAACATACGCCGAGGGACCAGACCTCATCTGGGGATTCCCGGGCTATCACTTGGATGTGGATATACCTGGATATTGGTAATATATGGTAATATACCTGGTGTGAAAAAATGATTACCTGGATTCATATTACCAATGGATATACGAGTGACATTCCATTGGGAAGATGATACGAGATGATCTACTCGTATCTCAGTGGCGTTCGGAACGGAAAATGACCTGAGACATTCTGGCCACAAAGGCCATAGTCACTCATAGTCGACAAAGACCACCAAAAGATGAAGGGCCCAGCTGTGGTCAGATGTCCAGTCGTCAGGATAGATAGAACGCAAACCAACGTAAACCACCGCCAGTCAGTCGCTATGATCACCTGGCAAATTTTGTTCAGTAGCCTTGGCAACTTGGATGTGGCTCCCAAAAAAATCATGGATGTTGGCTTCCAAATGTTCTTTCTTATCAACTTAGTGGATCTCAAAGGTAGCTGACCTCAACTTTTCAACTTCGGAAGTCGTCGGAGTGGTCGGCTCACCGGAGGGATACCAAAGTACCAGCTAGGAGGCAACTGAGATCCTGACATCACAAGAGCAGTTGTACTCCTTTCCCAGGATCACTTCAGGAGCCTTGAAATCTGTGATGTCACTAGCACATCTGCCGGACCCAAACCTTGAGGGTTAGAACGGCTAGAATTAAAGAAATGCCATGTCTATCAAGTTTTGCACATGCGGAAACAGGTTTTTGTTCAAGCTTGCATGTTCGTCTTTAGAAAGGTAAGGGGGGAAATACAGAAATACATCATACATCACAGAATGATATGGATAGGTTACATACCAGTACCGCTTGGTGGTTTGTTGATCCTCTATGTAGGTTAGTTTAACTGTCATGCCGTTCATCCAACACTCAAGAAACATAAACATGCAACATCCATTCCGCATTCTTGCTGGTTCTCTACTTTCTTGTCTTAGCAAAATACCCCAACAATATCCAACAATTGCTTTAGCAGCCGGTGCATTTCGGCTTGACGACCCGCACTTGGATAGTGTCAACCGGATGGGCTCTGATTGTATATAGCTGGTAGCTCTAAGGGGTTACCAGCTGACATTTTACCCAACCCATGCAGCTCCGAAGCAAAACGTCGGCGGTTCGTAAGCCAATACAACTGGAGTTGTAATTGTATTATTCCCATGGGTAATACCCCAGTTACAGTACACCTCAGTTATAAGTGATATTCCCATGGCTTAAACATGGCTTATAGCCCAGTTGTAAGTGAGCTAATGTTGGCAAAGCAATGCCACAAACCACCCATATGCTTTGATGCTTCATACCACTCATAAAGATATATCAAGATGGTCAATTTGGGGATGGTAGGTTTCCTATTGCTTTACCAACATTATACTCCAATTGGGCGTTTCCTAAAATGGGGAATCCCCAAAAATATGTTTTTTTCCCGCCTAGCCCCAAAAAAGAACTCCCCCCCCATTTTCATAGCTGGCCGTTTCAGCCCCCGCCACGAGTTCCCACAAGTTAGGCTTCCAGCCATGTAATGAGGCGTTCCGACGAGACTTCGGTGGCCACCTGTGAAGGATACCGTTACCCCAATGGGCCATGGCAAAAAGAATCAACGGGCCATGGTAATAGGATCAGCTAGTGGTAATAGATGATAATTCATCCATGGGCCATGGCTTCCGAAAAATCTATGTTAGTTTACCCCAATCCAGACTTGCCATGAACTTTGCTGATGGTCAATTTCAGTATGTTCATGTATTTTCGGTTCGAACCGACCAGGTACCTCGTCTTTGTTGGGGTCACCTTGACCATGTGACAGCACAATCTCTGAGTGTGTTAGCCAAGGTTCTCATTGCAAGATGACTTATTCACTGGATTGGTTTAAGGGAAAATCTACAGGAAACCATGGTTTTTATCATCAAACATAGGGCTTTCCTGTAAATTTTCCCATAATCCAATTCTATGACTTATGATTGCAACCATCATCATTTCGGACCTCAAGTACCAAACAACCACAGTCGATCCTGCTACAAAAGACATACAAGGACTATCTAGCCGCGCAAAGCCGTCAGCAAAACTCATCATGCATTTGCACCTCGACAAATCAACGCATTCACATGGCTTTGGGTCAAAATTAGGCTATGGGATAGTTTTCAAATGTGAGTAAAACATAGTAAAACCATCCATCCTTTGATTGTTTATACATGTTTATACCACCAATTTATGATGATGATGAGGGTGGTTTATTATTGCTTTACTAACATTGCCAAACATGTACCAACATCTGTGGTCTGGGTGATCCAGAACCAAATCTTCCTCACCTTGCCGACCTGACCTTTGTTGAGACGCGCAGCACAACCAAAATCAATCAGCTTGATGTAGCCATAGTTGTCCAGTAGAACCTCATGGGCACTGTTTTTCAAGATCCCAGGCGCGACCGCCAACGGTGGATACCCTTGGCGGTCCTCGATCGAGGGCTGGAAAATGACCAGTTCTTGATTTTCCGATGATGTTCCATCAAATGGGGATTTCCACATTGCCAGCTTAAATCATAGGAGGGTAAGCACTGCCGGCTCCCAAAGTCACAAAGTTCATCAGAAAATCCAATAGTCCTCCTTGAACATTTGCTTTTCTACCTTGGGGAAACCAGAATACCACTACACCTGGCAAAAAGGCTCCGCGCGAACACAACAATGCTATCGCATGGTGGAGCAAAGAAAGGTCTGAGACTGCTGCGTTCTCGGGCTTCAAGTCCCTGTAGATAATCATCCTTGGCAAATGTCGCAGTAGGGATTTTTGGAATGGCACTCGGGAGTGCAGTTGGTGTTATATGTATAACATGGTATCCCTTGTATAACTATGGGATATATGGTTATATAATGTTATATAACCCCGAGCATGAACTGAAGCAGGTGGGCAAATGGGATCTGCTCATGCCAGGTACAGGCTGACACCTGCATCGCCCCTCCCCTGTACCTGGCTGGAGTATGGCCCCCCCCAGCCCCAATGTATCCCAGAATGGACAGCATGCATTGCCCTTACAACAACGCAACAAAACCATACTCCTAAAACTGGTTTAGATTTGATCCACCAAAAGCAATCTGCCTATGATATATATATATATATAAATACTATATATATATATTATACAGAGTAATATACATGAGTCAATCTGGTACACAGCTAGGTCAATTGGCGATTTCGCCTACACACCCCATCTCCGCCCTCCAGCAGGCTGAGGATCTTTTCATGGAGTGCTTGAAGGGCAAGGATTAGACTGCCAGTGTAGAACCTGCATCTGGCGGTTTTCTGGAGATATTCCAAAAGAATCCAATGGCTGGGCTCTAAACCTACAACCAATTTCAGCTGGAGTCTACATCTGCCATCATCATGTGACAGTAAAGCGCAATAGTAACCCAGTCCAAAATTTACCATGGGGTGCTAAGTGGGTGCTATGAACAACATATGGATGGTGAATTATTGCTTTACTAACATTGTTGTAATTTCTATATGGAATCACTGAAGCTGATTGGCTAGGCCCTCAATTTGATGGTGGAAACCAAGTGTTAGTCTTCCACATCCAAATGGCTACGAACCCGAGTTTAACCCCACAGAACCTCATTAGCATCCCAAATATCAGCCAGTTATAAAGCAGTGATGAACCCCCATTATGTAACTTCCAAAACCAAGATTGTTGATCCAGAAATCCTTTCAAAATTCATCCACAAAAATCCACAGCAATGGGGATTGATGTGGATTGAAACCCCCAAACCTCTAAAACTTGTGGATTGAAGTGGATAGATGCGAAAAAAATCAGGAAAACACCTCCAAAATATTGATTTCCAGCTGATGATCAATCTTGATACCAAAACAAATGATGGCCAAACTTTGGTCCAACATGGTTCTCCAGTTAGATTTCCCAAAATCGTTGACACATAAACCTTGGTGTGTCTGAAACTAGGGTACCACTACCCCCAAATTCCACTCCTTACTCGTCGTTTCCACCATGACATATTGGGGGTAAATCCAACATTTAATCGAACAAACCAACTATCATACCAACTTGGTGAAATATAAATCCCATCCAATAAATTCCATGAAATATTACCATTAAAGTCGCGTTTAAAGCGTGTTGGGATTGCGAGTTGTAGTCGGCACAGTTAGGAGTTCGTTGAGGTTTGGTAGTGTTTGTGTTTGTTTTTGCTCGCCATTCATTGATTGATAAGGGTTTAGTCTGTTGTGCATGTTTCGGATGGGTTGTTGGTTGATTAGTTTGACTTTGAAGAGTTTGACTTTGGTTCAACCACCATAAAACCCATAAAACCACCATAAAACCACCATTTTCGCTGGTTGAAACCACCATTTTTGCTGCTGAACTCTGCCCATTTTTCGGTTAAAGCCCTGCCTGGCTTGCGAGCCATTGAGGATCCCCAGGGATCGAATGGCACCAAAGAGCTCGCCACCTGCTTCGTAACGTGGGAGGATAAATGATAAACTATAACTATAGTATACTATACAGTAGTCAGTTTATGTCAGTTTCATGTCTACCTATCAAATTGGTATGTGAATATAATAAATATATAGACAGTATATATATATATTATCATATCATATATGTGAATGTAGTGGTAGTAGTGGCACTAGTGAGAAATTGGTATATTTCATGTTTTACTACTATAGATATATAATATGTGAATGATCAATGATTGTTAATACGAGTATATTAGTTAATGGTTAATGTATTGATTCCATGCTTTTTGGCAGCATTTTGTTGCCTCGACCATATTTCATACCTTTTCTGGGGAACTTAAGGATTCACGGAACTCGTCACTTTCCATCGAAGTCAGAGGGGATTTTGGATAGCTTTCATGTTGCCAAGCATTTCCAAACCTGTAGCGAATGACATGAAGTTTCAATGAATCGAACAGTGGCTACTTGCATCTGGTTAGTCGTCATTGCAGACTGACACTTCTTTAAAACGGATCTGCACAGGGTTGTTTCGTCTGCCGATTGTGCCTGTGACAAACTCTGTCAGGAAGTAGACATTCCTGCGTTGTGATTCATGGCATGCAAGACTTGGGCAACATCCTCAAACAGATTTGGCCAGTTGCATTCTATGATACGGACATATACGTACAGACGCGATGGCTGTCTATGTCTACAGGACTAGAGATTCAGTCAGCGCCCGAAGTTGATCATCATCCAAGGTATAGGGGTCCCACAAAGGCAACGCAATCCATGCCACATGATGGCAAAGGCAAGGTCGAAACGATTCAAAATGCTTCAGGCCACCAAAGAATCCTAAAGATTTCTAAAGATAGACATGTTCTTTTCCAGGATATCTATTTGGACCTTGCCAAATATGAAGTAAGTGGAAGTTGATACCACCAAGACGGTCAGAGATGAGATTGCAACTTACAGTAAGTTGCAATCTCATCTCTGACCGTCTTGGTGGTATCAACCTCCACCGTCCCTGGCGCAACTTTTGCAACATCGCAGGAAGCGCAGCCAGGAAGGGCGCAGCTCTGGACCAGGAACCAGATTTCGACGAAGGACACCTTCACCGGCCGCGGGGTTTCCAGGAGTTTTTCAGACAGCATCTTGGAGCTCATGGCGCCAACTTCATGGCGCTGAATTTCTTGTGGTCGGCTGCAGGCCCCATGGAATCCCCATGGACTTTGGCCCCACGGTCATTCATCTGGGTAAATTATCATATTTCACTAACCTGAATAGTTCGGCCATTTGGGGATGATTTCCCATATCTAAACCCATGATTTCCAGGGCTCGGTCGAACAGTGAGGTCGTGATGAAATTTACCCAGATTCATAGCTCAACTGCACGCCCAAGGCCATATGATCCGAGGGATATGCCAAGCACGGCAGTTTTTCGGGCGCCATCTCCGCCATCTCCGCATCGCTGGGGAGGGATAAGAGGGAGCTGGCGCGAAGACCTCGTGGTTTTTTCGTGGCATACGTGGCATACGTGGGGTATAAAACCCCTAGGTACCTGATGGATAAATTGGATAATGATGGTATATTCATGGGATATATATATATATGGATATATGATATATGATGATATATGAGTTTCCGATGAATGATAGTTTCAAATTGATGTTTTGGACTGGAGATGAAAACAAAGGAACGTACTACTGTTGATTTCGTTTAGTTTCAATAGTCGATGTGGGAGTCCAGGGCGAAATAAAGTGAGTCGCTGTTTGTGGGAGTGGGATTCACAGGGAATGAACTGATCAACACATAATGTGTATACTGGTTGGTGGTTTCAACCCCTCTGCAAAATATTAGTCCCTCTGAAAAATATTAGTCAGTTTGGATGATTCTTCCCAATATATGGAAAAATAAAGTTAATGCTCCAAACCACCAACCAGCATAGTGTGTATAGTTCTTTTGCAAGATGCTGCTGACACTGGTATCTTGCTGGACATCCTTACACCCCCCTTGCCATGAGCACTTGGAGCGAAAGTCCTACTGGGATGTTCATCTGCTGGGCTCACATGTAACTATGACCATTCCATTTACAATTACGTTGCTTTTCCTTCCCTAGCTCCAAAACAACTTCACCTTATTCCTAAATGGCTTCTGAAACTAGTGTAACTGTACCCCAAATTCTTGCTGTTGAATCATATAGAATATTTCATTCTATTTCTATGTTTCGGACCAAACATTAAAGAATTCTGACATTTTAAGAGCTCCCCTCCATTAAAAAAACCGGCCCTTAATTAACAAAAATCGCTGCCCAGAGGCTGGAACTATGAAAGATGTAGTCGATGGTTCGCTTGATCTCCCCCTTGGGTCGAATCTTCCACGTGGTGTACGTGGGCTCCTCCGACCTGTGGAGCCAAATGGGGGTCGATGGACCAAAATTTGACGAAGGTGGTGGTTACATCATTAAGGACAACGAGTATTGGATAGGATTGGTATATATTATATTGGTATAATATGGTATAATGATATATCTCTAAGCAAACATTGAACACCACAAAAGAAGATCTTGGGAAATTGATTTCCCGTTTGGACATGGCACTGTTGGGATTCCATATCAAGCTTCAGGGGGTATGAAACAACTTAGTACCAGTGGTCTTAACTCCTACCTCAGTAAGGACAAAAGTTCATTATCTTTGAAATGATCTGGAAAATGTGTAATAATTCATAAACCTCAAATAGGAGCATTTGGGGATAGTTGCCCTTGCTAACCATCATTCCAGTGAGAGGTCGTTACGATTTGCCCAGTATACTCTCATTTCTTTCAGAACCTGTTGGATGTTCATCAGATAAACTTTGGAACAAAACAGCTCTGACCCAGAACCCTAGTGGCAAGAAAGACATCATCCAAAGTGTCCCAAAAAAACATTGGCCCAGAGACCCAGTTGCATAGGCACTTCGCAACTGCAACGGATGGCGCAAAGCAGCTGCATACGCCAATGGAGCTCCGATTTTGCTGTCAGCCACCTCACTGAGAGGTCGAGGTATACGATCTACATTCAATGGGAAGTGATTGGCAAAAAGGGCCCTTTAGAAATGGGATATTTAGAAGGTGAAACCCAACAAAAACCCTCCAGTAATTTAGCATGACAATGGAGAATCAACTATTTACGGGGATTTCCCACATAGCCATGTGGGAAATTATCGGAGGGTACAGACCTGCGACACAGGGATACAGGTTGATAGGATAATCCCCACTGTATTGGATAGAAAAAAAACAATGGAAAACACCACACAGTGGTGCGGTCAAAACATGGAAAAAGACTACCCTCTGGTAATTTAACATAGCTATTGAACATGGCCATTTATAGTGAGTTTACCCATTAAAAATGGTGATTTTCCATAGTTATGTTAGTTTACCAGAGGGTAATGTGCTTTATGGATGATCATCCCCAAAGGACTGGCTTCCAGTCCTTTGGTGGCATGAAAAATCATTCAAAAGTCAGTGAGTCAAGAGGCTTCAAAAAATCGTGATCAATTTTTTATCAATCGTTTTTTAAATCCATTAAGGCCCCCTTAAAAATCATCCGCTATATCAATAAATCATAATAAATCCATGAACACTGCGCTGGCCGTGCCCCTTATTGAAGTCCTCAGCTCCGTACCGGCATGGCATTGAGATCGCCGGCAAAAATCACATGATCCGCTGCGAGCTCTGCGAGGAGATCCAACAACTTGGAACATTCTTCGCTTCGCCTCGTTTTTTTCGGTCGGGGGATGGTGCTGGATGGTGGAAACTCGTTTTGTGTTTTGGAACCCCATGGAATCCGATTAAAAAAAAAACAACGTATAAACCCGGGCCCTAAGCTCATGTATTTTTTTTGGAAAAGCATGTTCAGCATTGTTCAGCAGCATCTCCCTGATTTGGGTAAGACCAAGCCAGGTGGGTTGTGGGTGTGGTAATGTGAAGAGGGAACATAGACATAGATCAATTGAGAGAACAATGCATGTGGTGAAACAATGTGGGTTTGACTGAAAATAGGATGTCCTAGAAATCCCATAGTTTATGATCATTTTATCAATTAAACTGCCATGTTGGGGCTATCCCCGATTTTCAGATACACCCGTGTGAGCAGTGTTCAAGACCCTTTGTTGTCCCTTTATCTTGCCTTTTTAATAGGGATACCAATAGTGGATTATGATACTCCCCAATATATTGAGGAGTATCACTATTCCCTGCTCATATCTGCTCATGTAATTCGTAGATGTATACACATTCAAATTATTTGCATGTATTGAGATGATCTACCCAGCCCTTTGGGGACCATGGGGATTCTCATGGTGGATAATGATCCCAACCTAGTCTTGCTGTGGAATATAATCCTCAAACCAACCCTCATTTTTCAATCATTTTCCATATGTATGTTTGATGGTTTAAGCTCATGTTTTGCTGATGGTTCAATCAATCAAATCCAATGATTTTAACACATGTTTTGAATGGCAATATGATATTTTTAGGCTGATATGGCTTATACAACCCCCAAATATGTCAATCAACTGCTCACATATTTGTGTCCCAGTTTTGCTTCGACCTTTGCTCCCTCCAAAACAAGTGGCCGTGCTTCGGCGATCGCATCCTTTCCAGAGAACAAATGACCACTGGCCACGGCCAGCGTGGCGGCTCCTTCTAAATCCTGGACCACCTGCAGTGAATGGAGGGAATGGATGAGTTGCCTGTTGATGATCTGTGATGGTTATCTGTTTTCATGTCTTGGCCTAACTTATCTCAGCAAACCTCCTGGAAGTGAAACCTGAAGACCCCGACGTCTCCAAGCCATGTTTGTGTATATATATATATATCTAAATATCTGTATATATATATATATATGTATATATATATACAGATACATATATATATAAATATCTGTATATATATACAGTGTATATATATATATATATATATGTATCTGTATATATATCTATACAGTATATATATATATATATATATATGTATTTGTATATATATACACAGTATAAATATATATATATATATGTATATATATATATATATGTATATGTATCTGTATACCTATATATATAAGTATACAGATACATATACATATATAAATAACAACTTAACAACCCCCTAAATGGATGGAAACAAATTCCTACCAATATATCCTAGTAGTATAGTGGTAAAATTCTATGTTTCTATTAGTTTCTATCTTCTCTGGGGTTACAGTACTATACTCAATACATGGCTACACACTATGTCTACACATCTCATTCCCATGATGGCCATACAGTGCCCTGCTCTTGGGTATTCCAATCCTTGGTTGGCAATTTTCTTTGTATCAGAAACACCACGCAAAAAATAAACATCGAAACATGAGTACGGAATCTTCATCGTGACTATCCAAAATTAGATTCCTTCCCATTTGTTTTGGCCGCCATGCTGGGTGTAAACTCACAGGTTCGGACAAACCCAGCAGTTTCAAGAAAACTACTTCGACGGGCCATGTGGTGATCCAGCTCGCTGATCGGGAACTGGGTTACATTATACGAGTTTCAATATTCTATACTGGGCGATACAACCCAGCACATGCATTTAGCTGAGATATACCAAAGTACATAATCCAAAGTACAAATCTATATAAGTTGTTCGCCTTGAAGTAACCCAAATATAGCCGCCTTCCCAACAATACATTGCTAAATTTAACTGGACCAGCCGTCAGCCCCAATGGCCATTCTAACCATTTTAACTCCCCAGTTTTCCCATGGGTATTCCATATTGACGGTAAAGTCAACATATTGATGATTGTACCCCTATATTTGCTGGTAACATCTGGTAGCCCTGAAGTTTGATAAACATCAACTCCGATATTTGATAAACATCACCGACAAATTTCAGGATGCTTAGGCCACACAATCTGCTTTTCCCCCGGAAAAATCGCTCCGAACATCGGCGTGTTTCCTGTGGCTCCCGACGGCCACTGCGGCAAAGTCCAGCGACGCGCAGGCGCGCAGAAGCCCAAAGCGGCGGCGCCGCAGAAACACAGCGGGGACGGCCACAGCAGAAGCGGTGGGTGGCACCGGTGGGAAGACTGCCTGGGATGAAGTGGACATGAGGGAAACTACATGGCGAAATTGAATATGCTGGTTCAGTAGACATTGAATGTAGTGTCATGATCTATGAATAATGTATAATCATATCTTGTATAATGATATATATACATAATTATATATATATATATGCATATACATGCATATACTATGTCTAATTTCACATGTAATGAAGAATGATCAAAGTAAATACATATAATAAACGTAATGAACGTCTATAAAAGTATATATAATAGATATAAACTGCTACTGTTATTCTTCTGCGGATTAGAGTGTTGTCAAACCTTTTTGGGAAATGGGAGACTCAACATAATGAACGGCATTCTTAAAGTTTGTAAGTGCAAGGATATTGTATGAATCGAGCCTCCTTGTAGCATTGCAAACAAACTAGAGCACACACAAAAGACCAAGTTGAGTGTTGCAAGTGTCTGAAATGTCTGAAACACATGATATCAACAACACATGCCATTCTGCTGGCTATGCTGCATTGTCCTACTTGACGATGTGTTGCCAGTCCTGTTGGCTATGAGCCTCATTGTATACTACCTATGACAGGTGTGCTGCAGACAAATGGGGTGCGGAGGAACCACAGGGTCTTGTTTCTATGCGCCCAAATATCTTTGTTTTCTGGTCAAATGCATTTGATATGTTGAGCCCGTTGAACTTGGCAATCTTCAGAAAAGGGTGAGAAGGAACCCAACAACATGACTTCAAGGAGCTCCAAGGTCGAAAAGTTGCTCCAGAATATTCTCGAGGAGTTTCACCAGCGATTTTGAGGCCAAAAACTGCGTGACGCATCTGTCGTGTCAGTAGCAGCTCATCGCCAAGTGACATCATAGCCAGCTTCTTTGAGCTCTGGGCAAAGTACAGACTCCTTCCTCAGTCGCCAATGGCAACTGGGGACGGCTGGTGTACCTCTGGTTATTTCACATAGCCATGGTATAGATGGCCCATAGAAATAGATGGTTCACCGATTAAAAATGATGATTTTCCATGGCTATGTTAGTCATAACCAGATGGTATATCCTCAAAATATCTCAAAATGATATCTGACTGGGTATTCCAGGATTAATGATCGCCGAAAACGTTAGCCCCGCATTTGTAAGCCGCTGGTTGATGAAGGTTAGGAACATTCCACCCAAAAAGACATCAACTATCAACTAAAATGATACCCTGCCCCCCGAGAAAAAGGGGTTCTCAGTCCTGGGTTTCCTGGGTTGTCATTGAACATTTAGTATTCCAGTAGAAGACTATGCTTTATTGGTTACAACACCATTAAGAAAATGGATGTCATTCTTTCAATCGCCGAACTGTTTCATCAGTAAAGAATGAACCCTCAAGTACCCCAACCATGGAAGTAGCTGCAAGAATCGTAAGAACAGCGGCTATCTTGAGATCAACAAGTACCACATGTTAGTTACTGTGGATAGAAGAAATCCTGCACCAGTTGCTAGATGTTGCTAGATGGTTTATCCATTATAATTATAATCCCATTGTAATCCTACTATTTACAGTGTTTCATATTTATATCCATTATCATCCATTACTATCCATTACTATCCATTATTATCCATTACTATCCATTATTATCCATTATTATCCATTTATTATCCATTATTATCCATTATTATCCATTATCATCCATTACTATCCATTACTATCCATTATTATCCATTATTATCCATTATTATCCATTATTATCCATTTATTATCCATTATTATCCATTATTATCCCAATTTTGATAGTTCCCCTGCCTGGCGCAGGATGTTTTCCAGGATGGGTCGTTAAATTTTCCGCAGGCAAGTCTCCCTGTCACATCCAACTGTGGCAGAAAGATCAGATCCTGAGGGAACTGAGGGATGCCATTCCAGTCCTTGTGGAGTCCACCATGAGATGATTTTTGCCATGGGATAATGGATACTTAGGGGATAAAAAAGGGGTATAGTTCATAGGGATTTTTTTAAAGGGATCATGGATATTTGAGATCACTATTTAATAGGGATGAGGGGATCATAATATCTGGGATCATGGGGATAGTCCATTTATGTTGTTTTTTCTAGTCCAAGAAAACTTTATGTCCACCATGTTAAGAGGGATAATGGGGGATAACACACGTGACATAATCTTGCATTCCTCGAAGAGTTTCACAACAAACACCCAACAACTGCGACAAACAACGAATCCCTGGGATGCTCTTCTGATTTCGGTAATTACGGTGAAGACTCGTTTTTTTTTAACGAAACCTTTGCCTCTAGAATCTAGAACTTGAAGAACATCTGCTGAAAAACCGAAGGCCCAAGGTGCTGGGTCTTCCTGCAACACAACCTCCAGCAATCGCAATCTTCGCAGAGCCCAGTCTTTCAACGCGTCAGCAGCGGAGGCTAGCCATTTCTCCTCGCTCTGCTTACCCGGCGGCAGAAAGATCTGTGCATGTCACAGAATATTTCACATTATATGAAAAACTATTTTACAGTAATGCCAGATTTCACTGGCGGCAGAAAGATCTGTGCATATTTGGCCAATACCCGCAATATCCAAATATGCCAA